CTTCTGCTTAAGATAAATAAATACATAAATAAATTAAATTACACTTTATTGATCCCCTTGCGGAAATGTTGATTACAATAGCAAACGTGCATGTATACATATATATTTGTGGTGAAATTGTATATGTTTAACGCCCCTATCAATACTATTAGGTTATTTAAGAGGCGGGGCCTCCGAGTTTAACGTCCATCTCTGAAAGGACCGAGCCTGATGGGAAATTCACGTAAAGCGTCTTTCCCAAGGACACAACGTCGGACCTTGCTGACGCTCGATCCCCCGAACCCACAATTAACTCACGATTACGAATTCGGTTGCCTAACCACTAGGCTTCCGACGCCACTAAATACATATATTATTTAAACACACAAAATGCAAACAAAGTGTATAAGATAAACAGAAGTACACTACTGCAGAATAATTTTACAAACAGGTGCTCGTCAAAATAATGAAATCGAAAAAGCGGTAATTTTTTGGCCTGCTGGGCACCTTTTGTTACATTTTTACCCTCACGCATCGTATGTCTAGTTGTGGGTTTTATGGACAACGTTAACAAAAGGTATACATAATTCTAAGGGAGTGCTTATTTAGGCCACATATGGCCTAAATAAGGTAAGGGAGGGGGGTTTAGCTTATTTGGGCCACAGTGGACTGTGGCCTAAATAAGGTAAGGGAGGGGGGTTTAGCTTATTTAGGCCACACATGCTCAAACTACCCTTTTCGGGCAACTGAGTTCGTTCCACTTTCATAATGGAGCACCTTTCTCATTTAGTACGGTTTTGTCTCAGTGTACAACTTATAAATCATAATCATACTGAATATTGTAAGAACAAAGCACAATACGCAAAATTTTGCTCAATCCCAATGGTTTGAATGAGGGCCAGATTTTTCCTTCATGGAGGGGCAAAAGCTAGGCTACCATTTTGGCACTCTTTGGTTAAGTGAAAAGGTCAAATCCTCCGAATGGACTTCCGGGTTAAATTTGGGGTATAAAAAGTGTGTACACTACGTGGCTGAGTCAAAGTTACACTATCTTAGCCTGAGTGACACTCTCTCGTACTGTCTCGTAGTAGTACATATGTACTCCTCCAAATCACCGGCCGTGAGAGGAGGAAGATATACCTCCAATGGGTCCCGGTGACTTTCTCTGAAGAACACATCAAGCAAGTCGTCAGGACCTTCGCCAAACCCAACTCCCAAATAGACTTCCTCCCTAGACGGTACGGTTCGGACGACCGTCACACCATCCTAGCGGAGGCCGACCCCGACGACGTTCCGCACTATGTGAGGATCTCGGGCTGCGGGCCGGACCCGCTCAATATAATGGTCACCCTCCCCGGACGCCGCATAGCCTGCCTACACTGCGCCCGAGTGGATCATTATTCCAATAAATGTCCGGCCCGCAGAACCGACAACGACGACACTCCCGCCACCAAGACTGCCCCCACCACCACGGAACCCGCGACCTATGCTGACCGACTAAAAGGACGACGCCCCACCACCACCTTACCGCCACAAGCAACGACAGCCGACACCCCTGCCATCACTGTGACCACCGACACCACCAACGCTCCAATCACCGATACCCCGACACCAGCAAGCAAACCCACCGTCAGCCTGACTGCCTCTGCCACCCCAAACACCGCCTCCATCGACCAACACAAATCTCCCGTCAAGACCCCCAAAAAGACCCAGCCCCCTACAAAGACGCAGACAAGGACCCTCCCCCCACCTTCTATAACACCCCTTCCCCCCCTTGAGGAAAGTATGACCAAATTGTCCCAAATCCCGAACTGGGCCGAGGAGGCAGAAAATAACCCCATATATGACAGTGACAGTGAAAGCGACAGTAGTGGAAGACGACTGACGATAGACACCGACCCTGAACAGGACAGACTAACGAAACCCAAAAAATCAAACCCCCCCCTAAAAAGACAAAATTCTCTCGACACAGTTACCCAAAATCTTAACGACCACAGAACAGAAAAGAAGAAAAAGACAGACAAACTTTCCACCCGACGGACAAACCCCTCTCCCAGACGACACTGACAATGACAATTCAACGACAAACTGTTCAACTTATCCTATTATTCCCTCTTTTTTCTTATAGAACACAGGATGGCAGGAGTGAGAGTGCTTTCCTTGAACACAAGAGGGATGCGTGGTAAGTTGCCCCAACTGAAAAACCTCATACACACACACAAACCAGACTTTCTCCTTTTACAAGAAACAAACATCCGCGACAGATACACCACACAAAAACTAACACACGAGCTGGGCCTAGCAACGGGGGTGTTCGGCCTGGGCCCCTACTGTCGCGGAACAGCTATCCTCCAAACTTCCGACAAATACACAATTACAGAACACACAGCGGACAACACAACAGGCCGATACACAATAGCCACCATCACAAACAACACAGATAGATCTACATACACACTTGCCAACATATACGCGCCATCACAAGCAACACAGATAGATCTACATACACACTTGCCAACATATACGCGCCAGCACAAGCAACACAGATAGATCTACATACACACTTGCCAACATATACGCGCCAGCACAAGCAACACAGATAGATCTACATACACACTTGCCAACATATACGCGCCAGCACAAGCAACACAGATAGATCTACATACACACTTGCCAACATATACGCGCCAGCACAAGCACGCACACGACCCACGTTTTACGACACACTAGCCGCAACACTAGCCTCAACAAAACACAAACTTATATTGGGGGGGGGGGGGGGGATTTCAACATAACACTAGAAGAGAGGGATATAGTGGGTACAGACATAGGAAAAATCAGACTGGGCAGAAGAGAACTACAGAACATCATAGACACACACAGATTGAAGGACAGCTACAGGGAGGTACACAAGAACAATGCAACAAACCCGACATACCGACACACATTCTATAACAGAGCGGCCAGAATAGATAGAATCTACACAGACCAAACACTCAAAGTCACACAGTGCACACATATAAACAGCACACTCCATTTCACAGACCACAAAGCAGTTTTAGTGACAATAGGACCCGGAGTACATACAAAAAAAACCCCATCACCTCACTGGAAATTCAACAACAGTTTACTAGAAAATGAAGATTTTGTACAAGCAGCCACAAACACGATAACCCTATACACACAACCACTCCCCTCCAACAACACTCGCGAATCCTGGGACATGATGAAAGACGCAATCAAAACAGTCAGTATCATCATGGCCAAGAGAATCAACACACGCAGACGACACCGAGAACACTCACTAGAACAAACACTAAAAATAGCAGAAGAAGAAGGAACACTACAAGAACCACAGAACTTAGAATTACAAACAGAACTAGAGGAAATTAGACAACACAGATACAGAGGGGCGCAAATACGCACAAGATTCACAGACATACCAGATGAAAAACCCACACAACAGTACCTATCACTAGAACAATCTATACAGAAAAACAGACACATAGAAAAACTCATAGACGCACAAGGCAACACACAAACACACAATAGCTCACGCATTTCAAAATTACTACGCCACACTGTACATCGAAGAGCACACCGACCAGGCGATACAAGA